AAATAATAAATACCAATGTCTTCAAAACTTGCACAGTAAGAACTAAAATTAGCTTGTGTGTTGGACTTTGGTCTAGAAATAGGCCAAGTCCAGCTTCTAGAAGCTATTTAGTGAAGTTTAAAGGGTTTTGATATTAAACAAAGTAATGAATTCTTCATTAAAAGATAAAAAAATATGTAATTACAGATTCACCTAAAAAAACCCCAGAGTATAGTTAAGGAAATACAGAGTCTGCAGCATATTAAACATATTTAACAGATGCTACATGAAATCTATATGCAGCAGAAGCCATGTCTTTGAGTCTTAGGAGTATAGGCTTATATTTTAATTGTGAAGGACTTCAGTAATTTTCTGATTGTAACTGCTTTGCTTTGCGATTTAGAGCTAAGGTGTTAACATTTTCATACTACTGAATTTTAAGCATGGAAAAAGATGTAATAAAAATGCTCTACAAAAGTATGATTTACTGTGTCATAGCTGCCTTCCAAAGAAAGAAAAAAAAAGAGTAACACACCTTTTTTCCTGCTTCCAAATTCTAAAGCTCTAAATTATTTCTGTTTGCCCATTAATGAACTTATCTCCAAGCTGGACTTTGGGGGAACACCACATTAGAGCAAGAAACATAAACTTCTGTGGTCAGTAGAGTGAGTTTTAGGATAGGTCAATAAAGTGGACAGTAACAGATTGCTAAGACCAGCTGGTATTCACCCTGGACTTCTAAGGGAATTGAAGGATGAAACAGCTGAGCTGTGAACTGTGCCGTGTAACTATTGCTTGAATTTATGCCAACATCAGAAGAAAGGAAGCAAGGTGACAAATGTGATGACAGTTTTAAAAATGGTTTGAATATCTACAATTGCCAAAGTTGATACTAGTGGTGGACATATTGTAGATAATCAATGATAAATGGCAGAATTAGTTAGCAATCTAATAAATTACTGATAAACTGGCAAAATAGGGTTTTGGGAACTGTTAAGAAAGGAAAACAAAATAATAAGTAAAAGGGTCATTGTAAAAGCTCAAGCTGTGCCCGCATCCTGCATACTTTTTGTGGTTTCCTTTCTTCTTACTAATAAAAAGTATGTTAGAAGTACAGCAAAACTAATCAAGATTATAAAAATTAGGTCTTTCTTTGTACAATGCACAATTAAGAATTGAAACTCTGTGCTGAAGGACTTAAAGTTTAAAATTTATTAGATTTAAAAAGCAATTACACAAATATGTGGAAGAACAGCCTGTCAAGGATTATTAAATGAAAAGATTTTGCTCTGGAATTCAACAGTGTCTGAAAGGCTACTGTTGAACACCAAATGGTGGAGGGGAACAGTTGCCATTCCAATTTATAATCAATAATGTTGTGGTGTTTCTTGAATCAGCTATGCTCCCTTTGGGTACAAGTGCATTCAGATCTGTTTTTCAGCTTTTGATGCATTTGACAAGTGATGGGTCACCTTTGTAAGGCCCAAACTGCTAAATCTTGATGGTAGGAATATATCTTAGAATGGGGAGAAGTGGAAGCTATACAATTATGTGTCTACTGGCACTAGACTCTGTTCTGCTGGGAACCGGCTTTTCCCTGTCCAGCAAATTCCATTGTAGCAGAAAGCTCATTTCAGCCTCCCCTTTTGTCTTTCCACTCAGACAAGAATTAATGAAGTTTCAGATCTTTTCAAGAGTTGAATCACTCTTGGCTTAAACTTTCAGTTCTAGTGGGGAGCCCAGCAGGTGTTCAGATTGTAACTAAGAGAATGTTTATTCTGATTTTGCATGCCATATTTCTGTGAGCATTTTAGTTACTTCTTAACAAATAAGACTTCAGGGTTGTTTTTTTTTTCCTTCAGAATTTTGTCAGCTACTGTTAAAAAATGTGAGAGTTTAATGTTATTGGTTTAGACTGAACTATAATTTAAAACAGATCTTTAAATGATGAGCAATCCCTGATGCTAACCATTGTGTTGATACAACCTTAGGTTGCTTTGTTTGGAAAGCAGAATATTTATCAGCTTCCTGGTATTTCAGTGTACAGGCATTCTTCCTGCTTCTGTGGGCTATGCCTAAAAACCTTATTTTAGCCTTTTCATAAAAAAAGAAGAAAGGTATTTTCAAGGCTATTATAAAAATACTTAGATCTAGTTCACAATTTCTTTTTAAAGTATTTTAAAGTAAATAGTCACAAATAACTGCTGGTGAACAACTCAATAAGAAATATGTAAGTGGAGCTGATGGCACCCTTGTGGTGTCATGGTCTAGGTCATAGGCTTGGTGATGGCCTTTTTTTTTTCTTTTGAGACTATAGGTTTGTTTTGTTGCATGTCATATTATAGAACAGCAGTCATGCAGCTGCTAAAACAACCCAAGTCTTCAAAAGTTTCTGTCTTGGCAGTCAAAAGACACATATTCCCTACCTGGCCTTTGATTTCAGCACTGGCATGGCCACAGCTGGAATTCTGTGTCCATTTCGAGGCTCCCCAGTGAAAAAGAACATGGATGTACTGTGAAAGTCCAACTAAGGGTCATGAAGATGGTGAAGGGACTGAAGCTGCTTTCCTGTGTGGAAAGGCTGAGAGAGCCATGAATATTTAACATGGACAAGGGGAGGCTCAGGAGGGTCTTGCCAGTTTACATAAATACCTGAAGGGAGAGTGCAAGGAGGATTGAGCCAGACACTGCTCAGTAGTGCTGAGTGACAGGACAAGAGGCAGAGGGCACAAACTGAAACACAGGTTCCTCCTGAACATCACAAGCCCCTTTTTTATTACTCTATTAAAGATCTGTTCTTTTGATTCCAGATAACATTTAGGAGATGAAGAACTGCAGGTTTTCCAGTTTAATACCCTGCTATATGGGACACAAGATATAATTTACTTTTGAGAATTAGAGCTCTATACAGATGAACTAGGCATCTAATTTCGTAATGACACTTGGTATGGGTACATCCTTTGAGTCCATCACCCCAGGCTTGTTCTTTCATTTTTCAGTGAAGAGAGAATGCAAGATGACTATTGTCTTAGCTAAGAGGCTAGGAAAAGTATAAGGTCACGTGTAATCTTCTGTATGCTCTTTTTCTTAGTGACAAAATAACTCTTCTTAGTGACAAAATAACTCCACAGAGTCTTCTGTGAAATGTAGTTTTCAAGATTCATCTGAAATAGGAATTCACTTTTAAAAATAAATGTTCAGATCTAAATGTTCAGATATATTCCTTTTGAAGCTTGTATTTCAAAGGCACTTTGTTTTGATTTTTTCAGCTAGGATAATGTATTTTAGAAGATTTTTTTTTTTCTTTAGCATACAGATGCAGAGACATGATTTTTCTTACAAAGATTATGGGTAGCAGATTATATCAAGACTTGTAGCAGAAATAGAAATGTGTATTGCAATTCCTGAATGTAGATTATTTCAGTGGCACCTACCAAGAATGTAATTGTTTCAGAGGTTTGCAGAATAGCTCCATGGGATCCAGGCCACAATTTTATGAAGTGCCATTCTGCAGGCTTCCAACTGTAGTATTTATAAAACAGTCCTGTCGCCACTCTTTTCAGGACCCTAATTTCAGTCAGGTCATTGGCACAGATGGAGGTAGTTGACTACATTTGAATGTGTATATGGATCTGAATTTGAAGGAGACAGTAAAAGCAATCTGTCCAGTATCTAAAACTCCTTTGAGGTATTTGTGTGTGTGTATGCTGGCAAGCACATCTGTTAATTTTAGAGTCTTGTTATTACGGATGTGGGGTGTGAAGATAGGAGGAAGTGCAAAGAGTGGAAGGTGCATTCTGTGTGTTTGAAAGTGCTCTAACACTTTGTTTCTTATCCTGAGATGCAGAACAGGAACATCAGATGAGGTACAACTGACAAAACATAGCTCAAATGCTAGGGCCATGTGTGTGTCCTGCAGTGGGTTAGACTTAGCGTATAGACAGAACTTTAAAGGATGTGTGTTTTTTTGTTTTATAAATAGCTGAAAAATAATTTTGATAAAATTAATCCTTTAGTAAAATCAAACCTGTCTGCATATTTTGTGATCCCCTGGTTTCTTCTCTCATTAGCATGGTAACATCTCACCTCTATTTCCTTCAAACAGTCACATCCTTTCTGCAGCAGCTGCCCACTCCCACTAGGCTGCTTTATGTTTTAACACTGTAAACAGATGTTCCCGTTTTCTTTCTTCTGTATACTTTCCCCTTTTTTTCCAGCACTCTCCACAAATGAAAATTTAACTACTTATTTCCTTTTAGTCTAGATTCTTACTTCACCTGTTCAGATATTTCTATTCATTCCCCTTGGCTGTGGGATTTTTTTTTTCCCTCTTTTTAATTGTTGGAAATAGAGAGTAGTTATGTTTCTTGGGATTTTGGGGGCTTTTTTAGGAGTCCTGGTTTAGGAGTGGCACTCCCTCATTTCGTGCCCCCACTTCCTCCTTCCATGGGAGATAAAAAGGGCAGAGATCATGGGTTGAGATAAAAGCAATTTACTGGAAACAGCAATGAGATAAGAACAGTGACAGCAACAATATTAACAACAAAAGTTTGCTAGAAGAGAGTGATTTGCAGGGAATTGCTCACTGACTGGGACAGTGAACAAAATGGTGGACAGACCATCTGCCCCCATGATTTTCCCCCAAGCCCAAGACAATGAAAAAATGGCAGACAGGTCATCTGGTTGGGACCAGTGTTACCCCACCATTACATTTGTCACTTGGTTCCCTCGAAAAGGAATGCCTCCTCCTTCCCTCTCTTTTCCAGGAAGCAAGAGAGAGACCCATTTCCCTCCTCCCTGGCCCTTAGGTGAGATGGGATTGAATAGCACAATGTCTTGGCCATGCCCACATGGTTCCACATGGCTGGTGTCCTTCTCTGAAACCAGGACGCTAGCAAAGGAGGTGAAAATTTCTAGAGGCAGTAGGAGGTATCAGAATTTTCAGTGGGAAGTGCAACGTTTCAAACTAGCAAGAAAAGTAATGCATGTCCTCTGCTTCTTATTGCTGCCAACTACGTAAGGAGGTGACCTGACTTCTGCTGAAGAAGTATCATGTAAGTTTGCAGTAATTTTGTTTGTTACATAATTGTAGAACTCTGGATACAATTCCTGCATGAGTTTCCTAGAGTAGACATGTTCTATGCTTAGATGTTTTTCCTTAGTGTTGTGCTACCTTAAGTAGTGATGGAATATTGTGTATAACCCCCTCCTGGGTGAAAATTCCTGAGGCTATTAGCCAGTTAATTTACAGCATTGTTTCTTGATTTGGAAGTAGGGAATTAAGTAGTGCATGTTTAACTTTTAATTCTTTTTGCATGTTTGTGTGTCTGTATTATCTTGGTTATAAGACTCATAGTTAATAAATTTTGCTTTCTAGTGCTGGAAGAGGCAAACTTTTTTTTTTTTTTTTTTTTTTTAAATTTTATTTCTGCCCTTATTAGCATCTAGTTTGAGACTGTCAGGGCATGTTTAAGCAAATTACAAATTTAGATAATTGAACTACTTTTTATTGTGACTACAAAGGAAATTATTTTGTTTCTTGTAAAGTTCCAGGTTTTTTTGCAAAGTTCCAAGGTAGCCATAAAGCATTTTACTGTATTTTCATTAAGGCATGAAAATTGCTTGGAACCTGTGCTAGAGGAATGTACAGGTCTTCTAGGATAATCTGCAGTTCTAGCATTGATAAGACTTTGAGGTAACTCAAAAGTCATGTTTTTAAGAGTCAGTGTTTCCAGTGTGTAGTTGAAGTTATGAAATGCGAGAGGTCTGTTAAAGTGTGTAACTGCAGGAGAAAACAGTCATGTGATTTTGGGATCTGCAGCCCCTTGACATAGCCTTCTGGCTTCAGTAAGGGCTCTTCTTCAAGCATAATCAGAAAAGGTGAACCTTTAGCGGTAACCTTCTTTTTATCTAGTAGTATTAATGTCATTCTATTCCTTTGGAACCTGGGCTATAGAGTTTTCACATTGGTGGTGAAAATCTACTTTTGCTTTCACATGTATAATAAGCAGGGTGTGTAGATTTTCCCTGGTACAGGAGACTGCTAACCATTCTGTTCAATGTGCTAAAAGTAATTCAGGGCCAAGAGAATTTTGTGGTTACACTGGGAACACACAAAAGAGGAGGATTGTGGCTTTGTAACCCATTTTCCAGGACCCTGGTTATCAGTCCTTCTTCTAAGGACTGCTTTATGTCTTAGCTTAGTGATTTCATTTTTGCAGAATACAGGTTCTTTTCTGCACTGCGACATGTTCTCGGAGCATTGGGCTGCCTTGCAGAGTATTAAAAGTGATTTAGGAGATGATTCAAATTTCTGTCTTCACCTACTCAGAAGGGACTTGAATCTGGTTCCTTCAATCCCTGTGTGAGGTCTTGAATTCCTTATCTCTTTGGTTCTATCTTAGACAACAAGGTCATTTAGTCTGTTTCCCAATCCTTGGCAAAATTGATCATGCTTTGGAAAACATTTTTTAAGAATGATGTAGCTCTTAAATATCTCTCTTAACATTTTTGGAATTAATTTCAGCTTAGAGAAATCCTCTTGATAATTCATGCTTATGTCTAGTTTTGTCAAAGATCATCACTGAGCTGGAAATTTTAATCCTATGTCTCCTTGACAGGAGTTCTCATCTATACCTATCTCCTTTGGAAGTCAGTAGCATTTATATTATTGTAGCGTATTTTCTTCTCTCAAATATTTTAAGCATGTATAACTTAATTGGGAACAATCATACTGTAAAAGCTTGTTACTAATTTTATTTATGAAATAGTGTACAGAATTAGATAAACAGTAGCAATACATTTGGTAAATAACATTTGACAGTGAAGATTTATGCTGGGGGAAGGAAGAAGGAAAAGTTTAAAAAAAGAATATTTTGTATTATGTATTATTTTAAAATAATACAGTACCAGATCATATTTAAGGAAAGATTTGTGTGGTTTTCGCTTTTTAGTTTGTTTTCATAATAATTCCTACTAATACTTTAGCAAGCCTGTGTTGTTATTTTAAGTGAAATTCTTATGACAATGTGTGACTAATGAGAAATAAATTCAGCTTACACAATGTATTTGGTAGATCCTATTTGTATTAATTATTTTCTATTTGTGTGAATTATTAAAAGAAAGAATAAGCCAAAATCTCCAGCAATGTTAATATATGTTTATACAAACACTTTTTCTTTGTGCTATTTTGTAATAATGTGATTACATCATACATTTAAAAATGCATCTTTTTGAGAGGAGCAGGAAAATAGATCTATGTATATACCTATATGCTATATAGATATATAACAACTTCTGAATTCATGAACTCAGCTATATTCTAAGTTAATGTTAATTTTTTAATAAGCTGGTGATCTTGGATAATTTTGGTGCATATAGTTAGATAAAAGCAATCACAAAAATAGATAGATGTCTCAGTGTTGAGACATATTGCCATGTTTTTTTAAGATTTGTCATTGTTAAAATCCAGTTCATAATCCTAGCCTGGCCCTGGTAACTGGAGCATGTTCCATGATATTTTAAATATGACTGAATTTGTACAGTTAACGTTTACTCAGGTCCTGTATATTAAAAAAAAAAATCTAGAAGGCCAACAAGCTGACTGAAGAGCAAAATTGACTGAAGAGCAAAAGTTTTGGAAGAGAAGCACTACATGCAAAACTTCTCAATTTTTTGTCTGTGTGTTTTATGATCTTTTCTCTGTGAATTGACTATGTTTGATAGCAAATATGCTTTCTGAATTCATGACCGTTTCCTCAAATATTAAGAATTAACCATGATTATATTTGTGATTAATTTGGCAGTAAAAAGAGAGGAGGAGGATTTTGAAGAAAAGAAGTCCATTAAGAAACGAATCAAAGAATTAAAAGTTTTGGACCCTAAGATTGCACAGAATCTGTGTAAGTAGATTCTGCTGGTTATTTTATTTTTTTTTCCTCAGAGTAATGTTTAATGTTCCATAAAAATGCCTTTCTCTCTTGTGTGATTGTCTGGTAACCACTTCTTGTTTAAAACATGTTTTTATATGTGCATATTGTTTTTAAGCACAAACGTGAGTTTACACAACTGAAACACTTAAAAAGACCTGAGAAGTAGTTACAGATTATTCCTTGTTCAAGACTATGTATTGAAGTGCAAGCATACAGATATATGCTATACTATACAGCTAATCCATCTTTATTTCAATATATTTGTCAAGGAATATTGGATGCCCTCTCCCCCTGCATGTCCTAACCCCATGTCAACAAAACAATGAAAATGCCTGCAGCAGGTCTGCCCACCTCATGAATTTTGTACAAACTAGGCCATACTTGGTATCATGCAATAATACGCAAACAAATAGAATAAAGTTTTGATGAGAGGAGTTCTAGGAAGAACAGGTTTCTAAATGCCAGTGGAGATTAAATAAGAAATAACTGTAATATGGTGATTAAATAAAGAGTGCTTATAACAACATCTAACAATGTTTCTGTGGTTTGGTTTTGGTGTGTCATGGTGCTTCTTGAAGAGAAGGCTCTGACAAGATTATTGAAAAAATTGCAGTTGTCACCTTAGCACAGAATACTGTAATAGAAGTGATTCTTCTGCAGAGTAGACTTGTCTCTTACTACTTATGGAAGTCTTCTCTGATGCTGGATGTTGTATGTAACAAATTGATTTGGAGAAGGCTGGAATTGAAAGAGAATAGTGATTAAAAATACATTAAAAATTTTTATCTCTTACCTATATTATTTGGCATAGTGCTTGTTAATCTGGAAATGCTATAACCTTTTTTGTTGCTGTTTTTTTAAATAGAAGCAAGATAGTTCTTGTCTTGCTTTTTTCATTATTTGTGGAATCTTTGTTTTAGCAATTTTCCTTGGATCTTTCCGAGTGCCTTATGAAGAGATCAAAATGATGATACTGGAAGTAGATGAAACACAGCTCTCAGAGTCCATGATTCAGGTAACAAAAATGGCACTTAAAATCCCAGTATTTCAAGAGAAGCTTCTCAGTAATTAGAAACCATAGCTAAAAACACCTCTTAATGTAAACTTCTGGCTAATCACTAACTGCAAGAATGTCATTTTCCTGTGAATGGTAGATTTTTTTTTTAAATTTCTAATGCTAATATTTTTATGAAAGTAGCTTGTGTTGTTTTTGAGTTAACTTCTTCACAGTGGCTGATATGGGGTTATGTTTGTATTTGTGCTGAACACAGGATTGATAATACAGAAATGTTATTGCTGAGCAGGGCTTACACAGAGCCAAGGCTTTTTCTGCTGTTTTTACTGCCATGCTGGCAAGGGGACTGGGTGTTTATGGGAAACTGGGAGAGGGCACAGCCAGGACAGGTGACCCCAAATGAACAAGGTGACATTCCAGACCATATGACATCATGCTCAGTATGTGAAGTGGGGGGAAGAAGAAAGAAGGGAGGTGGAGTGGTGTTGTTTGTCTTTTCAAGTTGCCATTACATGTGATGGTGCCCTGCTTTCCTGAAGATGGTGGAAAACACCTCCCAGCCCATGGGAACCAGTGAATGAAATCCTTGCTTTGCTTTGCTTGTGTGCACAGTTTATCTCATCCTGAGTTTTCTTACTATTACCCTTCCAATCTCTTCCTGATCCCACTGTGAGGAGAGTGAGTGAGTTGCTGCTTGGGGCTTGATTGCTGGATGGGATTAAACTATGACACAGGTGAATTTATATTCTCAATTTTCCATATTGTCCACACCTAAATAGAGACTTTTTCATGGGTACATATGATGTTTTGTTTCTTCTCTACTTACCAGAATTTTCTTTTCTTTGTTTAGCTCTGTCTTATCTGCACAAATCTCTGTTTTGGTTGTTTAGTTTTGTTTTTTATTTGTTTGTTTGTTAGAGCTGTAACAATCCAATATCTTGCCCTGGGGCATTTACAGCATTCACCATTTCTCTTCCATGGAGTTTATTTAGGTAGTGTCTTCTCTTTCAATATTATTTTTTTAAAACACAAAGTCGGTATGATTCTATGTGGAGTCAAAATAAACTAAAAGTTCTTCTATAGAGAGTGATATTTAAGTGTTGAAAAACTGAAGAATTTAATTAAATAAACACAAATGAATCATTTTAGAACAATGGCAAAAAAAATTTGGAAGGAGTGTCTTGAAGTCATTTGACCAAAGGCTCAGCTCAAAGCCAGGTCAACTAGAGCAGGTTGATCGGGGCCTTTTCCATCCAATTCTTACTATCTCCCAAGTCTGGAGACCCCATAGGCTTCTGGACACCTTTTCCAGTGTTGAACACTTGTAGTAGAAAATGTTTCTTTGTTTAACTAACTGGAATCTTTATTGTGATAACTTTGTGACCTTGGTCTTCTATTACAGAACTCTAAGAAGAGCTTAATTACACCTACTTCGTACCCTTTAGTTGAGTATCTGCACACATTAAGGGCCCATGAGGCTTGCTTTCCTAGAGTTCAACAGAGTGACTTCTCTCAGTCCGTCCTTGCCTGTCATGTGTCATAATCTTGAGTCATCTTGATGGGCGTCAGTAAATGTGAAAATGTCTGTCTTTAGAAAAATTATCTGCTTTGGATAGGACTCTAGCATACTGTGACGAACTTCAAATTATTTCTATAAATGTCAAAACATAATAAATCAATAATTCATAATTACTATCTACCAGTAATTTGGTATAGGTTTTAGATAGCTAATCTCTTCAGCATACTTTAAAGTGTGTTACAGACCAGTCCCTACTGAAACATGAAAGAAAGTTAAAGGTAGATTGTTTTTTGCAGGAATGTTGATAAAGTAAAACATGTACAGGTATCAGGGTCATAAAATTAACTGTTACATTAAAGCTCACTGAAATTCAGGTGTGGCTTGTACTGCAGCACAGAGGAACTTGTATTCAGATGTCAAAACAAGACAAATCTGTATTTCTGTGGTTTTCCTGCAAAATGAATTTCCACCATATCGGAATATCAAAATAACATCTTATCTTATTGCACAGGAGGCTGTGCAATGCTCAGCATGCCCTTTTCTTCCTACATGCAGTTTTGCCCTCACTTCATGTGACTTGGATTTCAAAGATGTTTAATCTCTCTTCAGCTATTTGGACTTCACTTTCCCTTCTTCATTGAAGAATGAGATGTTTCTCTTAAATATTTGAAGGAGCAATCATGAACCATGATCTCCAGTGACAGTATATATAGTCATTGTATAATTCTTGTTCTTTTGTTCAATGATGCAGTTAATATTGGTACTAAAACTATTACTTTAAAGTTGTTAGAATGAACATAGTTTACACTTCTAAAATGTTTTTTTAGTCTAATTTGCACTTAGATCACTTTTTCAAGGTTTTCTTCATGCTCAACAGCAGACTGATGTGTATCTTTATTTTGTTTGGTATAATAGTAGAAATTCTCTATGGTAGCATGAAAAACTAAGAGATGGAATATGCTCTGCTATTATGTTCAGCTTAAACTCTGTCTCAGATAGTCCATCCTTGCTCTGAGACTCTCTCATGCTATTTGATCTTAGCATTGTTTTTCAACAGTTAACATTTAGCTTGTTAGAAAAATTAGTTCCTCAACAATTAAATTAAGCAACCTGTATAGAAAAACTGTCATTTTGATAATTTCTATGTGTGTTATCTAAAGAAGGCAAAATTTATTTTTACATTTAGACTCTGGGAAAGAAAATCATCAAACTATTAACGGATAGTTAATTAATGGTATATTTCTGTGTGAAGATGCAGTAATCTAAGAAGAGAAAATTTATTTTATTGGAAAATTTGTTTGCTTTCTTATTGTTTTAGATTTCTGCTGTGGACTATTACAATTGTATATGCCTTGGGATAAAGAATGCCTAATTTTCAGTATATTTAGAATATCTAACATGCCTTAACCCCACTGGAGACAGGGCTAACAATATAATAGGATATAACTTTTTGACACTGTGCTGATAATCTTGTGGCTCTATTAATTGGTATTGACAGTAAAGTATGTTGAAAGTCAGCGTATACAGCAATCTCTCTATGTAGCATCAAAATTGTGTCCAAAGTGTTTTCGACAGTGGTTGAGCCCTTTTGTGTTTGCTTTTGAAGCGGAGTGAACAATTTTATTTAAGAAAAGGGTAAGAGAAGATGAAGAGCCAAAAGTGAGGAATTATATCAAGAGTACAGTGGTATTAGCAAGAGTGCAGTGGTATTAGCAGCTGCTGTGATTGTGTAAAAGTCAGTGGAATGGAATACAAGTGATCATGTGCACAATATCCCATATGAATATAGTGATATAAATCACTCAGTAATATAGACTGCATTTTTTTGCCAAGTGATTAATGTCTTGAGGACCTAAATCAGGTGGAAAATTCAGTAGAACTTATGCTTCAAATTTAGTTTGCAAGTTTGAATATAATGATATTTATTGAATGGGTTCATCCAAATTACTTATTTATGGGTAAAACAACCCTATAGTAACTTTGAAAAATGGACTGAGTTTGAACTGGAAAAAGGACTTAAGACTCCGAGCTTTCTTTGAAAGAGGTAGAGCAATGTGCGTATTACTTCAAAAAGTTGGTATCCACATTCATGTGTACCTAGGTTACTAAATAAATATCCAGCTGTATGTCTCTATTTCTACCTTCAAAATCCTTTTCAAGTACTATGAAAATGTGTTTCATGTATTTCGTCATTCTGAGAAGAGGGAAAGCATACATAGGTTTGCAACCATATGGCTAATTTTCTTCACTCATATTTTTCTTCACTCATATTAGATAGTATGGTACTTCTCCTTTTCAGGAATTTCTTGCTTTCAGCAGATTTTATTTTTTTAGCTGTAACTTTTTTGTTCAGTGGGTCCTAATATCACTGTTTCTGAAGTTGGAAATTTGTTCTTAATCTAGCTCTTGTTATGATTAAGAAATAAAATGTATTTTCTCTCCATCTGTCTCCATCCCCTTCCCTCCACCACTCTTCAGTTAGAAATTAAATCTAGTGCTTAAAAATGTAAAAACTCCAAGTCATGTTCTCATCCAAAAACTCAATGACTAATTATTGAAATGTTTTCCGTAACTTAGTCAAAATTCTTTCTCCTTCTTATTCCTCGTTTGATATTCAAAATGTGTTTCATCTGTAGCTGTTCAAAAGCTTTATCTGAGCACCGTAAAAACTGCTTTGATATCAGCTGCTCCTTCTATTTTGGTTGCTTTTCTTTTATATTCTGATGCTCAAAATTGAAAATATTCATCTAACACTTGACTGTTTTTGATTTTTGAAAGTTTTGTGGGCAGTTTTTCTTCATATGAAAACTATTTCTGCATCAAACAACAACATTTTAATTTCAGTAAATATTAAGGAATTGTATTATATTTAGAGCTGTTTATCGGAGTGTTGGATATCAAAAAGAAGAAATAGGTGTGCTATGAATTTCTAATTTAAAATATATCTTTTTACACTTTGTACACTTTTCATTTTTGCTCAGTGTTACTGATTTAGTGCCAGACATCTTCATCCATATTTAATAAATGTAGTTCTTTATACAAAAATATTTTTCCAAATGTAAGAGTGGTAAGTGTTCCACTAAAATTCAGTTTGACCATATCCAAATCAAGCTTCTAAAATTTCAGTTTGTATTATAGTTTTAAGCATCATCATTCATGCATGTTTAATAGTTTTGTCTTTTCTTACCAAAATCCTTATTTGAGCATGGACATTCTGTTGAATCCATCTACTGATTTAGGGATATTTTTCAGCTACTACTTAAAAGAGTAGTGAACTAAAGTAAACATACTTCTTAAACTGAAGAAGTATGTTAAGCAAAGAATAGGTATCTGTCTGGGCCCCCCAGAGAGGTAAATTTTACATCTGGCTGAATTTGCTGTAAAAGAAGGAATTAGGATCTTTAGTGGGTAAAATGAGGGGTTTTTTAAGGCTTTCAGATGGAGATTCTGTTCATTAAATGAAACTAATTACTTTTTGCTCATTGTATATCAAATAATATAAAGGTAATAAAACAAATGTTGGCAACCAAAATATCTGCCTTTTCCGTCAAGTATGGGGAAGTGGTGGAGTTGGTCTTGTTTCTTTCTTGAAATATGGTAATAGGTAGTGGGGTGTCTGTGTATCCTAGACTGGCTTCAGTGTTAAAAGGATTGAATCTTCAGTTCAGTTCAGGAGAGTGATCTTGCCAGTAGACCAGGGAGTGTTTTAAGAAAGGAAAATCTCTTGTGTTTTTTGCACTGTGACAGAAGCTTAACGCATGTGTAACCAGAAACACAAGAGTCATAATCTGTGAGACACAGCAGGCTGTAGGGACTCTGGCTATTGCCCAGTAATTGCAGCCGTCATCTTGGGAAGGGACAGAATTGAGCTACTGACTCAAATTTTATACCATAATTAAAGTGTGTGAGAAGCTTTCTATTTCCAGAATATCTGAAAAGCCATTTTTAGCCAGCCTAGCAGAAGCTAATCAGAGTGGGGTTCAGGTGCCCAAATGTGAGTGTATTTATGTAAATAATGTGTGTCTAAGTATTCGGGAAACTCCAGGGAGTCAGAGGATTCTTCAGATGAACAGATGAAGGTGAAATCTTTGATTCCCTTACCTGTAAGACATTCACTATATGTGTCCAGCCTTCCCATATTAACTACTGAATTCAGCTGAAGCTGAATCTCACCTCTGATTTACTACTTCTAGCAAGTTTTCACACTAAGTAGTAGTGTAAGTAAGTAAGGTAGTGTAATGCATTTAAACTTTTGTTTTGAAATGCTTGAAAATTAATTCTTCTTTTTCAAAATACTTTTCATCTAGAATTAGAAATTCTTGCTAGCCTTTGGATGGCTATGTTATACTTGAAGTTCCTGCTCTGTTTACTTTGAAGTGTTCTGTTTCCATCATGCCTATCACACACATTCTTTCTTGAAAAACAGTTTTAAAAAAATTACTATGGAAGTGTGTGGAATCAGTGTCAGGTGCTGGCAGTATTGCATCACTTATCTTTGACACTCTCATTTACTTTAATTTGTGTGTTGCTATGCACATTCTGCTGTCTTCAGGGAAGAGCGTTGTCTTTGGAGTGTATGGCAATAATGCATATGTAAACCCATTTGTTTACAACAATAGAAGCAACATTGAATCTGAGATTTTTAACCTATTTTATTTTCCTTTATAGAATTTAATAAAACACCTCCCTGAACAAGAGCAATTGAATGCATTGTCCAAGTTCAAGAACGAGTATAACAATTTGTCTGAGCCAGAGCAGTTTGGTGTTGTGGTGAGTTCTGTCTTATTATAACAGGTTTTTTTGGGTTTTTTGTTGTTTGTTTTTTTTTTTGGTTTTTTGTTTGTTTGTTTGTTTTTGTTTTGTGGTTGTTTTTTTTTTTTGTCCTTTCTGGAAATACAGGCTGCTTGTTTTTTGGTTTTTTTTTTTTTTTGTCCTTTCTGGAAATACAGTTTTAATATAATATTATAGGAAAAAGAGACAGTTGCTTCTTCCACAAAGTGAAGGGGTTCCAGACAGGAAGAAGAGTACAGGTGCTGCCATTTAACTGGACTTTTGTTGGACATATTTCTGGATGTGAAAGGCTTGATTATTGAAACATTGCTTCTGGAATGATTTTTGATTCTCTTTGTTTAAAAAAATAATTTTGTTTTGCAAAAGAAACCAAACCAAAACCATAAAAACTTTGGTATTTTCTGTGGCAAAGTTTCACTTGGAAATACAGAGCTATTTTTGAATTTTCATAGCTAAAATAGTTTGGCCTTATTTTTGTTTACATTAATAAATCTTAATGTTTTTTACTGAGGCTTTCTGCATGTATGTTCTTCTTTCTATTCTCCGCGTAAATGAGAAGAAAATAATGTCATAACGATCATGTTGACCCTACTCTGCCTCCTGCTGCCTGTGTTTTATACCATGTTCTGTAAAGAGTACCCCTAATCACTTTTCCCCTTCCCTCTGGAAAGAGAGGTTTGTAATATCGTCCAGGCTGAATTCACAAAGGAAGAGTGGAAGTGAAAAAAAGAAAATGCTAGTTCAGAGCTGGCAGTTGATGCTTTTTGTGGAAATACAGTTTGCATCTAATTTCTGTATAGCTCATAATTCATAGTTGGTTCATCCAGACAAACTCAGAGTAATGCTATGTAGTTTCCTAGTGCATATATCTGTACAAGTCTTTGATTTTTCTTGCCGATTCCTGGAGTTTCAACCTAAGGTGGTTATTGCTAAGATTATCTTATCTGAGGGAATTTCCCATGAGGGAATAATACTTACTCAGTTAGATGGAACTGTCAGTTGATGAGAAGAGCTAGACCAGTAACAATGTAGGTAGAGTCTTGCTGCACCCAACTTTTCTGATAAATTTGTCTTTAAAAGTTGAGGCAATGTGATAACTCAGAAAAATAAAATAAATGGACATCATAAAAGTTCTTATATCTCAAAAATTTCTGGAACTTCTTTTCTGAAGAAATAAACAGATTCCCACTGAAAAGTGCAAGTCCTTGCTTTTCCCAGTTTTCCATGTAAAACATTAAAAAAGTCTACAAACAAGACCAAACCCCATCATCAGTTTCTGTCGTGTCACAGCTTCTATGTATGTACTAGAGAGGATTTGGGAGAACAAGCAAAATGTTTATTACATGAAGCATTTTTCATTTCTGTTCCAATGGGAGAAAATTTGAATAAGTCACTTTTTTTACTCTGAATATAGTATCCTATCCATTTACTTTTCATCGAAGTTCTTCAAGCTCCATCTGGCTCCCCATATCTTTTCTTTTATTGTTGTCCATGGAGCGGGCTGAGAAATTCTTCTCATTTCTTAGGAAGCCACTCTTGATGCTAATGTGAATTTTCACATTATTGCTGGTTTTGTTAGTTTTGTTGGTTTTGTTTATTTTTCCTTAAAAATTTTGGTTTCTGCCTTAATTTTTGCTGTCTGTTTTAAATGAGGAGAATCAAACTTGAATACAAAATGCAGGACTTGAATTCTTTTAAATGAGTAGTGTTTTATAGTTACGTTTTTTAGAGAATTAGGAGATTCCATGTTAATTTGCTCTGAAGTTGTGATTAAAGGGACAGTTAAACTATTTGATTCCTAAGGAAGAATCTAAGTGAATAAATGGCTAATTGCTACTTGTGTAATGATTTTTTTTTTCATCATGGAAACTTGTTACCTTTCAGGCTTTGAATTGAAAGTCAAAATTTGATATTCTGAAACAAACAGCAAGACACTTAGTGAGATATTGCCTGGCTGTGACTGTTACAGTATTGTATGCTTCAAGCAAGGTTAATTAAGTTTTGTTGTTGGCTTAAAGATCTTGAGGGCATGATTCTAAACAGTTCAGGTTTCCTTCATGAGCGCTGCTTGTGGTTTTGGGGTTGTGTTTGGGTTTTTCTCTTATGGTTGTGAGGATTTGTTTTCTTTGAATTGACACTATGAGTTGTTTTTGTGGTTCCTGCCTTCTCTTTTCTAAGTTATTTATCATTTTTATATTTTCTGTTCATTCAGCAGTAAGTATAAAATAAATCCTTTATGGCCCTTATCTTTTCTTCCAGACTTAGGTTTTCTTTAGATAAACTACTTTATTTACTGCTAGGTTCTTTCACTTACTCCAAGCTGATGTCTCAGAGCACAGATATAATCACCTATTACTGTGGAACTTTGGTTTTGGTTTAGGGTTGTGGGGTTTTTTGGGGGGTGGGAGTGGGGTAGGGAGGAGCTTGTACTGATTCATTAACTATTTCATGACAACTACATTAATTCTGTTCATCTTACTAAAAAATTAGTTTACTATTGTTACCTTAACTTGATCTTATATTGAATGCTGTATTTCCTTGCTCAAATTCATTATAAGGTATGCTTGTGTTTTATTAAAAATAAATACTCAATTGCGTTTTGTTTTACCATATTTCTTGTTTTGTACTTGGTTATACTTACTAAAGTAAACTTTCTCCAAAACTTCTTCAAAACTTCTTTAGCCTTCATATTTTTTTCTTGGTGGTTTCATTGATTACCACAGAATCACAGAATATTCTCAGTTGGAAGGGATCCACAAGGATCATTGACTCCAGCTCTTAAGGGAATAGCCCATATAGGGATCAAACCCACAACCCACGCTGAATCTTGAATAAAACTTGATAGTGATGAAGATTATCTTTGTACAATGTGAAACCCTCTAGAGACGAATGAGGTATCATCTAGATGTTCATCTTGGTAACTGTTGAGAGAAGGTTGTATTTTGGAGGTATTCACATTTTTTACCTGCTTTTTTTCAATGGACAGTATAAATATTTTGTTGCTTTAGAACTTTCAGCAATGTTGATTTGTTTTGTAGGTAGTTCTTTTCTGCTAAGAAAAAAACATTGTAAGTGTTGTTTTAGAGAATATTTTTTTCTAATTTTTGGTGTAGTATCTGTCACTATATCAAAGAAATGTTTAAGGAGTAGATAATTTAGTAAATGTTAATCTAATTTATTTTGAGTGAAGTTTATGTAATAAATACTACTTAGAGTTATTGATCATGACTTATACTTTGAGTGCAGCAATCTGTTTAATGGATTTTTACTGAACTATTACCATACCACTGGTCAATATCTTATTCATAAGGAAGTTGGACACAAGCATCTTCCAACTGTTCAGAACTTGAATGTTCTGAATTCTTATAGAATTCCATTCTACGAGTTGATGTACACTTGTTTATTTACAGTGCCTGTGATTCTTTGTGCTGTAAAATAGTCCTAGACAATTTAAAATGTATTATATGGTTTGATATCCATAAATACAATTCCATTTAAGTAATCACAGTTTTGATGCTCTTTATCAGGCATGCCTGTGCCTCTAGGTCTGACATTTCAGGGTATTTATCAAGGCACAGAGGTGCATGGCACTGTTTAGTCTCATACCAGATGGTTCCAGATCTTTGCTGCCTCTCCCCTCAGTGTCCTGTAACTGTAGTTCCCCAACTTTACAGCACCACACATCTGCCTCTTCTCCCTCTCTTGCCCACACAGCAATGCTAAGCAAGTGCTGCCCACACAGCAATGCTTCAGGCCTACTCATGCCAACATATTTGAAATGTTCTTTGCACTAGGAACCATTCCAAAAAGTAGTTCTGAATTGATAATGCTGCATGCATATAGCTGAATCCAGTAGTAAATTCCAGCATGAGACAACTGGAACATGTTGCCCAGAGAATGTGGATGCCCCATTCCTTGAAAGTTTTCAAAGCTAGGTTGAATGAGGCTCAGAGCAACCTGGTCTGGTGTAAGGTGTTCCTACCTATGGCAGGTGAGTTGGAACTAGATGATTTTTAAGATTCCTTCCAACACAAAAGATTCTATGATTTTGTGTAGCCTCATTAGTGCCTGTAATCTTTAGTGGTATTAAATGGTCCTGGTCCATATGGCTTGAAATCAATAAGTGCAATTCCATTTAAGGAATCAAAGTTTTGATGTTGTTTATAAACACTTCTAATGTAAACAGTTTCCAATGCTTGACAGGATGATATTAGTAGACATTTGACCTCAGGTGGAGGCAAGTGTAGCCTAGCATTCTTACATATGAGAACTGTCTCAAGAGCCATGTGTGATAGCTCCTGCTGTCTTTCTTTTCTGGTAATCTGAGACATTTGGAAAGATGTTCCCATATTGTCTAGTAGTAAAAAAAAAGGAAACAGATTTTTCCTTGATCATTTATATTTGCTCAAAGATAAAATTGAGGGAATTACAAAATATTGTTTCAGAAATAATTAATGTTCAGACCTTGTGAAATTCACTGACAGCTAACCCAAATAGAATTTGGCAAGCAATCCTCATGTGGCTTCACAGCTTGTTCACTGATGGATGTGTTTTTAATGAGTTCGTACCAAAGGAAAAGATTTCACTAGAGTAAATTGAAGATTAGAGTGAGGCCTGATGAAGGCTAGTTTGTCTTAAATAATTCAGCAGACACTTAAATTGATAAATTCCATATTCAGCTGATAGTTTCACCTGTATGTTCTCATTGAGGATAACTCAAAAGTGTATTAATTTTTTTTCACTGTTGTCTGGAAAATATACTATCACTGCTTCTGCAGAGGCATACTCTGTCTTTCATAATATTTGATGCTTGGACACAGCCATACTTAGTGACATTTCAGTCTGTTTAAAATTCTGAAGTACTGAAGTGCATCTGGGCTGTGAGATATTTTGATTGTGTTAATTTCTATTTGCAAACCTTATCTTCTGTGTCTTCTAGATGTCGTGTGTATCTGCTTCTCTGCCTTGTCAGTGTTCTC